CCTTGCGGCACGTCCGTGCCGTCAGCCAGCTGCGGAGCGTGAGCTCGACTCACCATAACCTTGCAGCACAAAGTGTTCTCCTGACGGAGAGGTGGGGAAAGCGCCGCCCCCCGCTCCCTCAGTACCCGTCCTGGCCGTGGGGGTGTCGCGGGTGGGTCCCCCCGGGCCGCGCACGGCCGCCTGGCCCACCTCCGAGGTTGTACGTGCCACGGTTTGCTCCGCACCGATATGCATTTAACCGGTTTTGTGGTTTTTTTTAATTTTTTATTTAACATTTATTTAACGGCTCCGGGGCGCGGCCCGCGTCACCCGTAGGCCGCGGGATGCGGCGTTGTGACTCTCGAGGCGTTCCTTCGCGCCAGCGAGCTCCCGGCAGTGTCCTGCCGGCCAGCCTGTGTCCAGAGCCCCCCGTCTGCCCCTCCAGCCCTGCTGCTCCGAGCAGGATAAGGCACACCTGGAAACCCCAGAGAAATGGTCAACAAAACCATGGGCTGGTAGCTGACGGGTTAGAGTCGTTCCCTGCCGGGGGAGAAGCCGGCGGGTGGTTTTATTTCTGTAGCCCTGAACTTGCACTTGTTCATCCACAACAGGTAACTGGAGGCAAGTTCGTAATAATCCCCTTCACTTCAGAGCAATTACTGGCGTGCTAAAGCAATTGAGACTCTTCGTAGATGTTGATGCAAGTATCAAAACGCTGAGTCGGGAGTTTAAAATTAATTTGACTCATAACATTTCTTTTAGATAACACCGGTTCCGCTCTTTTTATTTACCTTCTAATTTCTGAGTCTGCAAGGTGTTTTCTTTCACATACTCTTAAACGTCTTACGTGACCAGAGAGATTTAAAACTCTTTTCCACTGAAATGTCTCCTTCCCTCCCTTTTCGTACCTGAAAGCTAAGAAGTGAATGAGATGTCATTGGACCCAGCAACCAGGACTTTAAAAGGGAAAAAAATAAAAAATAAAAATATTGCAAAGCATGCACGGAGCGAGGTGCTTCAGGAGATCAGCCACAGGGATAACAAGCATCCATCCGGAGGAGCTAGAAACCGATCGGTCCAGATGAAGGACGTCTCTTATCACTAAGACAGAACGACCCATTGATATAATGGCTGAGGGAGACCTCCTTGTCCTCCTAAGCAGGAAATCATACGGGATGTCAGGAGGGGCCAGCGCAAGTGTGAACAAAAACCACTCGGGAATGACGAGCTGGAGCCTGAGTGAGGAACGGTAGGGAGCGAAGGAGGGAGATGAGTCACAGAAGCATTTATCCTCAAAATGACCTTCTGCCGTTGATACACTTTCTCAATGCAAAGCAAATATAGGATTTAGCATATCAATTCTTTAGCACAGAACTTGTTCATCAGAGGTGGATACAAGTGCTTTTTAATAGGGGAATGGCTGCAAGGCCGAAGGGGGAAATCTTTGCTACGCCAGACCTTTGCCGCCAGAACATCTCGCCTGTGCAGGGGGTGGGAGAGGGGTCAGCAGGGCCGGGCAGGGGTGGACCTGTCCTGGTGGGGTGGCTGCGTCTCCGGGGGGTAACCCGGGTTTGGGCACCACACGAGAGCTCCTGCTGCAGACCAGAGACCGGCCGCAGACGTGGCACCATGGACGCCCTTTTCGTCGCTGGTTATCTGCTGTAGGCACCAAAGAAGCCTTGCAAGGAAGGGTGGTGGTCGGAGGTAGGAGTGACAGCAAAGGCCCACATCGTGATGGGATTTATTCCTCCACCAGCACTTGTGTAAAGTATGTTTTCAGAGGTGCAGCAGCAAAAATATGAACCACTCCTTTGCTGCATGGCTCCCTCCTGCCCTCCCCAAATACTTTACGTGGTGCACTGTTGATTCTGGGGTATTACTCATCCCTAAATAAGCTGACAGCTCCTGGCCATCAGCCACATGCTGACAATATTTGAGACATGAATTAACAGTGATAATGCTCCTTGCTCTGGCACAAATGTAAGGTTTTAAATGAAATCTCCACTGAGAATTTCTCACACACGCTGGCACTGAGGAGCGTTTTGGGGTGGGCACAGTTGGCTCTGAGGATGTCTGTTGGTCTCTCTGGATCCAGTCTTGCTATACCCTCCTGTTGTTTCATCCCTGTGTTCACCCAGGCAAAGTTGCAAGGCAGGTGTTGTTGGGCTCATCTTTAGGGAATACAAATCTTTGGGAGTAGAGGATAATTTGTATCATTCCAAATCTGTTCTTAAGACTTTCCTGATTTGCCCAGAGAAGTGATTATTTTTTTCCAGTAAGCCCTGATTCAGCAACCCACTTCTGGATTGCTCAACATTATAGACTCGCCACTAAGCACAGAAGTATTCCTATTGCAGCTTTTAAGCAAAGGCCCGCAAACAGAATGTAAGCATGAATTTAAATTATTTTCTGACTGAACAGGCCTTTGTCATGACTAAGCAGCTGATCTGGAAGAGTTCTCGGAAAGGATCATGGAAAGAGAAATCCACTGTTTAGATGACCAAGGAATATTGAATTTGTGTAGCTTTTTCAGGTCTTAATTGAAGGCATGTGCTTTCTGAGCCCGCCACAAAATCCTCTCCCAGGCATTTCATGGGCATTTGAGCTAAATGCCCATTCTTAGCAAAAATGAGGCTAATTGAAAAATTCTTCCTTTGTTAAATATTCAGGGGCTACTCTCTAGCAATGTAAAATCACAAAACCCCAAACTTGGACAGGGAGAAGAATCTAGCTCCATATTTGTCTCCCTCCTGTGTTGGCAATGAGGGGAGAGAGCAGTTACCTTTTAAAGGCGATGGCATGGAAAATTTTGCCTTGCTGGAAAAAGTTTTGCAACATTAAAAGTAATTAAAATGGGGTTTTACAATGGAAAGTTGAGCAACGCTCTCAGGCATAGGTGTAACCATCAGCTCCACCTATAATAAACCAAACTGTTCCCCTCCTGTGGAGCAACGCAATCCGCTTAGAAAACTGATCCAAGCAAACCTTGTCACTGCGGCAGATTTACAAAACCCAAATTGTGACAGAATAAGGAAGGGCAGAATGGAAAAACAAAACACATTGATCCTGTAATCTAGAGATAATGCAAGGAAATGTGGCATGTTACGGCAAAAATACAGATCGTCTTTCACCAGTTGTATGTAAGCAGAGACAAATGCCTCTTCTCTCTTCCTCCAAATAAGCCAGTGGCCAAAGGCAGCCTCTTCAGTCCCAACATGTGTGGGCAAGCGCTCACCTCTGCCACGGGAAGCTCTTTTCAGACGACTCCTTGCCGTGGAGCTTCAAAACCAAACCCATTCGTTTGGCGAGTGCTCCAGCATCTTCTGCTTGGTGTTGCTTTGGTCCCTCCTCTGTGCCATGCCCGTCTGCAGCGCGAGGCCGGGGTTCCCAGCACACCGTGCCTGCACAGCGTTTCAAAGACACAGCGTTGTCCTTACAGTTCTGTGCCGAGCGTGCTTGGAAACACTCCTGCTCCTGTTCACCAACAGCTTCACCTCAGAGGAGCATGGCGCTTGTCCACACGTGAAAGCTAATTTGGATTAAGGAAGAGTGTGAATTAAAAGCAGAGTAGGAATCCCAAAATATCTCTGGGCAGATAAGCCCCAAGTTATCAAAACAATTGATTAAACATACCGTCACTAATTGCAAAATCAGTGGAGAAGGGAAGTAAGCACGCTCAAGAGAGAAGGTCGCGCATCCCAGCACCGGCAGGGGCGGGACAGGTTTGGGTTTACCCTCAGCCGTCGGCCACAGGGAGACATGGACGTGGAAGCAGGACGTGGGGAAGGAGCAAACCTCGTAAGAGGATGAGCAGGAGTGCAGCCAGCAGCACAGCCCACGTCTGGTTGTTGCCCGTTGGGTGGCAGTGGCTGTCGGGGCAGGAGCTCACCAGCCCAGGGCAGGTACCGTCCACCTGGACGACCACGCTGTGCCCAGGTGGAGACGGTGGTTTTCACATCCTGTTCTCTGCAGTTTTCTTGTTAAATATTAGTTGTGATTATTATCAAACGGCACACCCCTGCCACGCCGGGCCGGAGGCTGTGCAAACATGGAATACAAAGAAACTTTCTGCCTTAAAGAGCTTGCAGTGGCAGGCTCTCCCTCTTCCCAAGTGAAAGGAGGCTGCATCCAGATACACGTGAGACAGACACCACTTTGCAAAATGGGAAACATCCAAATCTTTCACAATCTGAATAATAAAGATTTCCTCCTATAGCCTGTCCCATCTCACAAGATAGACGTTATGAATTCTATTGACGATGACAGTGTATTTTGAGTTGCTGGCACTAAAAAAGGGAAGGTATTGTGAAAGAGCTAGTATCACATGAATTTATTTAATATAAAAAAGACATTAAAAAAGCAGACATTGGTAACACTGATAAGGCTTTAGTGAAAACATGGTAATGCTGAAACCACATTAATTTTAACCAGAACCTTGAAGAAAAGCAATTCAAGAGAAAAAAGAATCCATAAATAATGAGGAACATGGCAAAAGCTGAATAAGTAGAAATAGCCAGTCTGTGAAAAGGCTGAATAAGCATGTTCTTTGTAACAGCATGGAAAGGAAAAGACACAACAGCCTGTATCCTCCACTTCAGCGATAATTTCCCTGGGAGCTGCACCCATTCAGCTGAGGGCAGCTCAGGGTCTGAGCCGCTTCTCCGTGGTCAAAGTTGTGAAAGCTTAAAAGCCAAATGCTGAGCATACAAGGGGCTTTCCACAGTAAGTCAGAAAGCTTCTTAAAAGACATGCTTCCTCACAAAGTCTAGATGTTACTCTCTGCTGAATCCTGAATTCTTCTAATTCCAGATATGACTTCTGGTGCTGGAAACTCCCGCTCCTGGATCTGAGTAGAGATGAGCAAGAGCTTGTGCTCGGGATAAAAATGGTCAGACAAAACTAGGTCGCTTCCATACCTCGTCTCACCTTCCCTGTGATGAAAGTCCATGGTTTTCTTGCATCTCCATAGCAGGGAAGATGGGGACGGATCAGCTTTGACTCACAGTTTCAATCCCCTACACACTTGTATAGGGTTTGGGAAGCACCATAGGGGGATACCAGAGCCCCCAAGGAGCCCGACTTTTAGAAACCCGCTCCCACTGGGTACCCACGAGCTTCGGCTGTCTCTGTTTCAGGAGCAGATCTGAAGATGCTCTGTTTTCCCAGTGCCCATGTGCCATCATGCTGCCGCCAGTTGATCTGCCAACGATCCATGATGCTTTATATCCTAATAGAGATTTATTTGTCAAACTTGGCCACAAGAGTGTCTTATTTAGAATTAATTACAATGTCTGGTTTTAGCTACATGTACAGCAGCATGGCAAGTTACCCTTGTACTCTTTGGACCAAATTTCTATCTATGGATGGTAGCACTTACATCAGAGATTAATTCAATGGCTTGCATGATGCTTTCTTTCTGGAAATTGAAGTCAATAGAAGCTAATTATACTTATTGATGCAAGATCAGAATTGACGTTTGAGTAAAATTTAGCCTGTCTGAGTGCTTCCTTGGTAACTTATCTCTGTCGCCAGGATCTTACCAGTCACAAGCAGCTGAGCAGGATGGGTGTGCACGAGGCAGGGCGAAGGGACGCTCCTCACAGCCCGCAGGATGAGGGATATTTTCCTTCGGATACTCCCCATGCTAAGTCAGAAAGTAGAACAGATTTCTACTGCCCAGGTAATACGGAGGTGTTGCTGATGTTGGGTAAATTAATTTCATTAAGTTATTTAGTGAATTAGACACTATTAATTCAGTAGCACAATGTTTCCCCAAGTCAGCACCAGCTCCCTCTCCATTTTGCTGGCTTTGTGGATGAACAGACAGCAGAGGAGTGTTTCCTGTGCCGTGCACATACGCTTTTCAAGTGTTCCTGATGACACATCTACACTGTGCCCCACAGCACAGGGGGAGCCGCCGGGGCTGGCAGAGGTCACAGCACAAGGACAACTGCTCTCGCACCCCGGGTACCACAACCTCATGATGCAGCACGGAGCTCAGGCATCTACCGGCCCTGGGAATGGGCTTAGGCCAGTTCAGCCCTGCAATTTTGTAAAAATCCCTGGATTTTAACCCTACCACTTGTAGTTGCCAGCAACACCTGCAAAAAGGAAAAAAAAAACAAAACCCACTGGGTATAGCAGACTATAAGCTTTTTTTTAACTGATACACTATAGACTTTTCCAAATCAATTCAGCATGTAGTTTTCTTTAGCTTTGTAAAACTAACACCTTTGATCCAGCAAATATTTATATGCACATATTGGGACAGCCTCCTGTACTGAATGTAACAAAGTCCTGTTCACTGGTCCCTAGGCAACCACTAGAACAAACTAATTAGTAACTACAAATTCACACACATCCATCAAAATAAGATCCAGATTCATTTTATTTTGCCTCAGTATCTTCTGTGCTTGAAAATTAGCATCTAAACTTGCCTGAAACAAATGATACTAATTTACAGGCTGGTTTTAAAAATAAGTGTAAAAAGGGTCTCATCGTGAAATTCTACAAAAAAAAAAAAAAAAAAAAAGGATATTTGAGCATGGACCAAAAAAACCCCATCAGATCCTGTCCCAGATCCTGTCCCAGATCCTGTCCCAGATGGAGTCGGGAAGTTTGGCCCTGGATCTGAAGTCTGCTATACAAGCAATCCCCGCCAAGCAGAAAAACTAATGTGCCTCCCTCATCAGCTTCTGTGTCAGCTACAGCTGACTCTATTTACTTTTAGCCCAGAGGAGGAACTGGGAGCAGAAGGAAAAGAAAAAACCTTCATTGATATTCACAATGATGTCTTACATGTCCAGCGTTATTTTTGTCCGAGGGAGCTCTTTCAGAAAATGAGAGAAAACAAGTGATTAGGGGGAAGAATGGCCGTCAGGAGTGAAGAAAGGACCCTGTTGTGGGGGAAGGGGCTGTATTACTCTGTCTATTAAAGTATCATGAATCATTTTGACTACTGTGTGTATATTTGGTAACAGAAAAGTAAGGTGGACTCAGTCTGGACACTGTAAAAACAGGGTTTGTTACCTTAGCTAAGCTAAGTGCCAAATTAGAAGTCTCTAATGATGAAGGCAGATTGGTTGAAATTGCAGCTGGCAAGTAGCAGTTCCCTCACCCTGATGGTGAAAGAAGGATAAAATCCCTCCTTGTCCCCATTTCCACGCAAAAGAAATTATGTCCTGAACCCAGAGCACAACCCCGCTCCAGCCCAGGGAGCTGTGCTGGGGCCAGGTGTTCACCGTGGCTGAAAATCCAACTGCTGAGCTTTGTAAAGAGAGAAACCATCCCTGGGCGTCTGCCTGCCTGGGCTGGCGGTGGTATTGCCCAGGCACCGAGCACAAGCACCCGCATCCCCAGCCATCCGGCCCCACGGCCATGGGCGGGCAGGCAGGAAGGAGCCCTGCCAGCTGGCTGCCTGCTAAGGGTTTCCAGCAGCGAGAAACCACTCTGCCTGCATCGCTGCCCAGGGCCCCTTTCACATTTCAATTCATTCCTTGTCACCGGGGGAGAGGACCTGGCTGGGACCGGAGGAGGAGAAACCGCTTTACCTGTGCTTGGCCGCTCTGGATGCAAAGCACACTTGCATTTTTCAAGCTCTGTCACTGGGAAGCAGATTTTGCAGGTACTTTCTCCTCATTTACACGTAGGAAGGGTTTCTCCCTGGCGGATGGAGCTCAATTTTGGCTCCAAGCATGGCATTTACACTGGTGTGAATAATGTCCAAGAACACACGACTCACAGGAAACTTCTAATTGACCAAGATGTGATTCATTAGGAGGCTTGCACTGTCTGAATTAAAACAGCATCACAAAAAAAAAAAAATCACTGAAACCCCCAGGCTGTCTGGCAAGCAAGTGCCCAGTAACCCTGCTGCACTGGTGGGGGATAGCCAGGACTTCTTGCAGGCTGCTGCGGTGCCGAAGCTGCTGCAGCCCCTCAGGTGCAGAGCTGGAGTCTGCCGATGATGCAGCTTGAGCTGGGTCCAGCTGAACCATCCTCCCTCAATGGCTCTCCAGATGCAGCCACTTGTTTTTTGGCAGTGTCTTTGCACAGAACAGAAACAGCCCTTCTCTGGGAGCATGGAGGCAAAGGGAAGGAAGACTGGGGCAGGAAGGAGTGGGGTGAGGAAGGAACAATGACCAATGAGCCTCCGATTTCCTCAAATTAATTGTAGAATCATAGAATGGTTTGGGTTGGAAGGGACCTCTAAAGGGCATCTAGTCCAACCCCCCTGCCGTGGGCAGGGACATCTTCAACTAGATCCGGTTGCTCAGAGCCCCGTCCAACCTGACCTTGAATGTCTCCAGGGATGGGGCATCCACCACCTCTCTGGGCAACCTGTGCCGGTGCTTCACCACCCTCAGCGTAAAAAATTTCTTCCTTAGATCTAGTCTGAATCAACTCTCTTTGATTGTTTTTGGTTTAAAAACATTGCCCCTTGTCCTATCGCTACAGGCCCTATTAAAAAGTCTGTCCCCATCTTTCTTACAAGGCCGCAATAAGGTCTCCCCGGAGCCTTCTCTTCTCCAGGCTGAACAACCCCAACTCTCAGTTGTCGTAAACACAGAGTATCCACTCCAGAAGCACAGAGCAGAGGTCTGGGAGGATTTCAGGCAGTGGGAAGGATGGACCTCGAAGGGAACCCCAACTCCTGCCTCCAAATTAAAGGCTGGAGTGAGGCTTGTTGTGACTCACCATCATCTCTGCCTTGGCAACATCCTCCGCTCATCCAGGGCCTGCTGCGAGGTGGATCGCTTTCCCAGTCTATTCCTCTTCCCAGCTATTCAATACAAACTCATGAATTTGGGTGCATGGCCCCAGACTGTGGCCCCATGGATATCCCACCACTGCTTCGCCAGGCAGCACCGGAGCAGGATCTCCTGCACACGTCTGTGTGAGCACAGGCAAAACCAAACATGCAGAGGCAACTGGAAAGCCAGGCAAGCGATGGGGACAGTCGGGGAAGAAATTTCAGGCCACTAAGTGTGAGCACAGGAGCGGCCACCCACCCCTCACTTGGGTTGTGCCATACGTGGTCCACCTGATGATGCCCAGCAAGTTCAACCCTCTATCCGGTTGTAGGGGGGAATAGATACACTCCTAGGAGAGGGACATTGTGATATTGGGCTTTCCAGATTTGTAGCCACCGAGGTGATAAAATGCAATGGTTGGAAACCAGACAAATAGCCATCCCTCGCAGCACTCAGATCAGTGCTGGGTGTTTTTCTAGCCCAGAGAGGGATTAGTCCGGAGCGGCCCTATGCCAAGTGTCAGAAGGGAGACACAAGTTCCCTTTCAGCCATGGTGAACTTTATCAAGTTTTCAGTAGGAAAAAAAGATTATCCGCTCACACAGCAACCTTGTGAGGCTTCACATGTTCTCACTGCTTCAGGCAAACAGAAGTGGAAGGGCTTTTTCCTATCTTTTGTATGTGCAGCTGCTCTTTAATGTAAATGTACTTACCAGAAATTGAATAACTCCCACGCAAGTAATTTTATACCCATCCAACATTTAAATTATGAATGCAATAATCTGCAGCACCATGAGTTACAAGGCAAGGCTAGAATTCCCGAGGCAAAAAAAAGTCTATTTTTAGACCTTTCAAGCTGAAATTTTTACTAGATGTGGAAATTTGCTTCATTCTGCTGCCTCGGGTGTTAATTTGCATTAAAAGTTTCAGGGTTTTGTTTTTCAGACTTTTGGGTGATGCCTGGTCAAACAGCAGAAAACAAAGCAGCTA